GTGTGTGTGTGTGTGTGTGTGTGTGTGTGTGTGTGTGTGTAGTGTAGATGGGCATATTTGAATATCTATGCGTCTATTCATAGCACGTGTATTGACGGGTGTCATGTATGCAAAGACACCTATGTCCACCTTTGTGTGTGGCTGTTCCTGTTCCCATTTCGTTGTTACAGTTTTTGTCAAGGTGAATGCGAGTGTGTGTGTGTGTGTGTGTGTGTACCTCGGCCAGCAGCAGGCCCTGAGGCTCCAGCTCCAGCTGAACTCTGTGTTTCTGGTTGTCCAGGAACTCCTCCAGCTTCAGGTACTTCAGGGCACACAACGAGCGGTAGTCCTTCCAGTAGACTGCTATCTCCATCTCCCTCGACTGAAACACAAACACACAGCGGCACCCAACGGTGACAACAGCAGCGGCAGTTTTACTAAATGGATGATTAAATGCACTCAATGCATTTGTGTGTGTGCGTGTGCGTACTGACCCTTTCCAGCTCCACAGTGAAGGTCTGGTCCCAAGCCTGCTCTCCCACAGTCCTCCAGAGTGTCTGGCCCACAACACCATTATCCAGCTTCAGCACAGCACTCACCTCAGCTACACACAAACACAAACACACACATTCCTATTCAGAACCTGGCCCTTTAGCCCTGACCACTAAAAAAAACATGAACGCTACCGTATGCTCACGCTGCAATAATACAATTTAAGTATTGATTAATGATCGTCATTAATTTCCTCGGGGAAAGTGTAAGACCTTAAAAAAGCCGTCTGCTCAGGGTACTGAAGCAAGTCAGCTCAATTTGCTGATGTGGCTGCGCCATTATGTGCGAGCACTGACCTACAGTACCTAACCTCCCCAACCTAAAGTGACCGTGATAGTAATTTGATGTACTAAATATAGATTTGCTACATTGTGCTGTTTGTTTTACACTATTTGTGATGAGATCCACACACGCATTAATACGTCCACTTACACGAGAGCTCGTCTGTCTTGCTGGGTGTCTTCCCGCTGACCGAGCCGCTCCGGCCGTAGAGTCCCTTGCTGCCTCTCATGAAGGACCTGGTGTCTCCGGGGCTGTAGCAGGGCAGCATGACGGCTGTCCCTTTATTGCGACCGGGGACCACCTCCAACAACCCCACGCAGCCCAGCACCTGCACCTGTAAGCTACCTGGAGACACACAGGGGAACCATTCAGGCACAACCAACGACGAGGGCCAAAAACACCCAGAGGCCACATGAATATATTTGTGAAAAATTCCAAGACCGAAAAAATGTGTGATTTACAAATATTACGCGCACTTGCAAAAGCTTACGCCCTCTTCCACAAATAGTCACAGCACATTCACTCGCACCAGATACAATATCTCCCAAAGTCCTTGGTCTTTTTGCTTGACATTGTCTCGCGCGGTTTTGCTTTGTGTCAATTACCAGTGAGAGGCGAGGGCTTGTTGAGCGTGCTGTACTGGTTGTGGGGGTAAGGGGCGCCATGCCGAGAGGAGGCCAGGACCAGCTCCTCTTTGATGACACTCGCCTTGGGATGGTCCTCGGGCAGCTCTGCCAGACGCTGGTCCAGAGAGTCCCTCAGCAGGTCCAAGCGCTGAGACGCCTCGCTCAGACGAGACTGCGCCTGCAGGGCATCGACACAGAGCAGCATTAAAACACGCTCGGCGACCTTACGCAAGCGATTACCTCCCCATCCAATCTTACAGCCCGCACAATCCATCCCTGCTGTCATATTGTCACAATGAAAACAAGAGCATTGGTGTAACAATCCATTAGAAATGTCTGGTAAAGTGGCTCTAGCCCAAAATATACTGCACAAGAATACAGCTTAATTTTTGCTTGTAACGCCACGCTTTATGGCTGAAAGAACAGGGTGTGCGTGTGGAAGGGTTTGCAGGATGTGTGTGTGTGTGCGTGTGTGCGCGTGTGTGTGTGTCCAGTCTAACCTCAGACAGGGCTTTCTTGTCCTGGACCTTGCTGGCCCCCAGGAGCCTCAGCACATTTTTGGCCCCCTCAACGACAGCATGCTCCACTCTGTAGTGATGCCTCAGCTCTTCTATGCGCAGCTCCATCGCACAGTCGTCCTGGTTACCTGCAGTGTTTGGACGGACACATTGCATTAGTAAGTAGAGGACTTCACACAATACAGCTGAGGCTGTGATGCATTGAGACGCCGCATTCATCCAACCTGCAACTATTATTCAGTTTTATTCCATAGTTCGATGTTGGCAGGAGCACGCTGAGACAACGGACTTTTGTATTGGCAGCAGCGTGCAACTCCCCTGAGCATACGGAGTTAGGTTAATGCCTCGATGCATGTCATGCATTACACAAGAGCCAGACAAAGAAAACATTAGCAGCGCCCGGAGGGGGCCATCTCTGAGTGTTCCCCAGTAAACAACATTAACTTTAGTTCCAACCTCTCTTTCCAAATGGCTTTGTCATTCCCATCTCTAAAAGCATACAGAGCAATAACACAAAATATTCATTTCATTCTGTTTGTTTCCTTTTTTCTGAGATTTAAAATAAATCATATTGGATATTAATTAAGAAAAACAAACGAACGAGTGATAGCTCACATACTTAAATAAGATTTCATAGGATTTATTTTAGCAATAACAGCTTGTCCAGAATGAAATATCTTTAATATTTCCTGTTTTCGCCACCGGTTACAGCTACCTCTAATTAGAAAGACGTTTGAAATGGAAAGTGTACAATATAACTATATTATAATATCATTTAATTTATTGTTATAATAATTAAATAAAAATATAACAAATAAAATAATATTATAACATGAATATTTTAGTGAAGAAGCCACCTATCTGATCATGATAAAGTTAATAGAAAAAACGTGCCATCACTTCAAATGGTTTAATAAATAAAGACCTGCTTACAAGCTACAGGAGAAACATTACATATGTATGTATTATATATGTATTGTATATGTAGTCACAGTAATAATATTTTCAGTCCTTCACTGTAAACTAAAAGCCACTTCAAAATGCAACGAATGCCGCTGATGAAACACTAACAATTAGCTATTTCACCCTCTAAATGGAGAGAAATGATAACAGAAGCCAGATCAGAGCCGAAAGATAAGGTGCAATGCCATCAGTCTAAAAAAAAAAAAAAAAAAAAAAACATACTCGAGCTCCCTCATTTGGAAAAACAGACATTGGGGTCAGTCTCCGAGTTAAACCTGTGAAGCACAATTACAGCTAAGCGGTTAGCTTAATGTCACAGCGGCGGCCTTTCGCAGTGGGCGACGAACACAATGGAACACACAGACGAGGAGAGGAGGAGCGAGATAACGAGGACATTAGGATAAATAGCATTCACAAATATGTGCTTTTGACTTTGTAATGCCAGGTTAGTGAAGAGGAAGGACACAAGAACAAAGAGGAGTGATTAAAAAGATTATTTTTTTATGACTTATGGGTTGCTCAAAGCGCTGCATGCGACAGGAGGAGAGAGAGAGAGAGAGGAAAAAAGGGGGAGCCAGGGGTGGAGATGGATGTGGATGCTTTTATCTCCTAATAAGGTGTTGTGCCTGGAGCCCAGACCCTGCTAGATGACCCCTCCACCGGGTGTGGTGCCTGGAGACTGTCTGTGTACACTACACACACAACCCCTGTGTGAGTGTGTAGGATTTAAAGGAGAAAGAGAGAGAGAAAGATGTGTGACACCGGCACAAAAGAAGAAAATCCAAATGTTGAAGTATATTTAGAGAGTTACATTGAGGTTACCGTTACGGGAAATAAAATACCTGTGTAGAAAGACATGTTACAGTCAATGTATTTGCAGATAATAGAGGTTAAAGTTTAGCATTGCACTCCTGTAACACTGTCGGATTCACGATGAACAGTGTGAACAAAAAGGATCCACTTCGACGCAGCAGAACCGGTCGTTCTATCTTTGCCAAAACCGGCCGCGTACATCACCCACAATGCACCCAAACCACAGACGGTTTCGGTAAGAGATTCAGGTATGTTGTGCTTGACGCGGCTAACGTAGCCTCGAGTCGCTAGCTGGCCTCGGAGATGAGGAGCAGCTACAGAGGTCTGGTGAGCTCGCCTCTTTCTAACTCCACACCCTCAAAATCAAAAACATCACTTGAGGTAGAAAAAAAAAAAAAAAAAAAAAAAAAAAAAAAAAAAAAATCAGACTTCACATGTGGATCCATCTGGGGGCTTTGCAGGAATTCCCCCCCCCCCCCACATATGCAGACTTCGGTGGAGAATTGAACTATCTTTATCACGTTACAGCAGTGGAAGGAACTTGAAGTCATTAAAAACACAGTAGGTTTTCCACTTATTGGACACCAGGGGATAAAGTACAGCCCTTCAGAGTGACCATCCATCCAAATGGCCATTATCTTCTTTCCCTTAAAAGCCCACTTTCTTATTAGCCATCGGCTGCCTCAGTCCGTAATGAGCAGAAACAAATATATGGCCCCAAAGGGAATACGGAAATATCCTTATAATCTCTATTTTACTTCTATCCCCTCACACTGCTCCCTCCCTGCTCCCCCGCTGCATTTTACCAAACACTCCCCCTCTGGTGGCGGTAATCAACCTGCCCAATTTTTCCCAGCAAAGGAGCCACGACGGTCCACAACACTCACCGGGCTACAGCAACTCATTCACCTGCCCACAAATGGCGTGGATCGCTCTGCCACGGCACATAATGCGAGTGTGTGTCAGACAGAAGAGACAGGGAACAGGACATCGCATTTGTTCGTTTGATCGCATCTTGAAGCGCAACGACCACACTTCCTTTAATACATGCGATCACCTGTTTGTGCTCACAATAATACTGTACTGCGAGTGTGTGAAAGAGACTTTTCATCTGCCGGCCCCTTTTTGTTGGAGGGTTGAATTTTTTCAGTGTGAATTTGATTGATTGTGGTAATGGGCCAGGTGGGCCATTTCACAGGCTTTGTATAACTCACTCACATATTTGTCCGCACGCGCGCACACACACACACACACACACACACACACACACACACACACACACACAC